TTATTAATTTCAACCTTAGTTAGTGGAGAAAAAAAAAGTTGTCTCGTTAAAAGGTTCTCTATAATATTATTATTATGTTTAATACTTTTATTGTTTTATTCTATTCTTCAATTTCTAATACTGCCTCTTTTATCAATATTTCATTAAATTAAAAAGATAGGAATGTGTACGTAACTTTCTTGGCTATATACTCAGTTTTATTTAATAGAAGCGGAAAGTTTAAATTTATTGGAAACTGATATAGCTCAACAACAAAGTTAATGAACTGAATCTTCTAAAGGTTGTAACTTCTCTCGAAGAAAATAACTAGGCAGTTAAAGAATTTAATATGAACTTTTATGAAATATTAAACTCTACAATGTGCTATATACAAAGATTTTAATGAGGTTTCTGAATTAAATTTCTGGATAACTACAACTACATCATTGTTCTCCCATTCGGTAAGTATCTTACCTCTTATTCAAAATTTGCAGCATCTCATATCTCATTATTTATTTGGTTAGGAAAAAGAGAAATGAGGAAAGTAGAACAAGCAAAAAGAAAAAGGAATAAAGAATGTAAGCAATTTATTTATACTGCATATGTTATTGACTTGAAACTCTATTTTATTCGATTTTTTCACTTTATGATTTTTTGATATTAAATAACTTGATAAACCACCTAACAGGCTTAAAAAGATCTCTAATTTCATGAAAAATAATAAAATTATCCTTGCAAGAAGTCCTTTATCATCAGAAAGAAGTTACCTCCTTGAACAGATGCTTCAAGATCTTTTTGATGATTGTCTTGCTATATAGATAGTGAAAAGGTAATCTGTAATAATGAGAGCTCTTTACCAATTTCAAGTGGAATAAATTTGGAAGAACTTTAACTGAATTAATCAATCCCGATAAAAAAAGGCTACCTATGTATTTGATGGCGTTCTATTTTTGAGATAAATCGAAGGAATGTTAAGTAAAGAATACATTTTTGATTAAAATTTTGAATTCTTTGTCTCGTCAAATACTATCTAACACTTGATTCTAAAATAATACCTATAGAATTCCATGATATTTTTGGTTTGAATGTCTTACTTCTAGGATGAGAAGAATTCTGTCAACTTTTATTGCATGTAGTGATCTCTTTAAAGTCCATAAAACTTGTTCAAAGGGCTTCTTGGAAATACTTTGATTAATCTATCTAGTACTTCGCAACTATATTCATAATTAAATGAATATTAACAAGAAAAATTTTGCATTGCAGTATCTGTTTCATTTAAATTACGAATAATATAACAGGTTATTCTCACACTTTTACTGGATCTGAAACTGAAAACTACAAGATAATGAGTATACTACTACATGAGTAAGCAGGATAATTCATAGGAGGACTTTTACGTGATTGGCCGATCAAATTCAATTGAATTTATACAGTTTAAAGTACTTTTTGAGATTTTGATAATCTACTTAATAAATCAAAAAAAAATTTCATTTTTAGCTCCGAAATAACTTTAAAACTCACTGTGCAAAAGAA